TCAATTTGTTAAGTGGAAAAGTCAATAAAAAGGTAATTTCCATGTAGATCTCATCCACCAAATGTGGATTGTAATTTACAGATAAAGCTCAGACAAGGAAATGAATGCAGGTGACAGAAGAGCTTTGGTAAGCAAATTACTGGGCATAGTGAGTCTGTGGACTAAGGGCTTAGATCTAGAGAAGCAGCTCTATGGCATGGGCTTATGTGAAGCCCACCAACTACCAGGGAAGGGTCTCCTTCTGAGCTGAAATGGCAGCTCCTCAGACAGGTCCACCTCACCTCGAGTAATTTTTTTTTTTTTTTTTTTTTTTTTTTATTCTCACCCGAGGACATTTTTCGATATTTTGTTCAGATAGAGTGGGAGGGAGAGAGAGAGAGAAACATCGACGTGAAAGAGACACATCGAGTGGTTGCCACCCGCACGACCCAACCAGGGCCGGGGACAATCTGCAACCGAGATACGTGCCCTTAGCAGGAACCGAACCTGGGTCTCTCCAGACCGCAGGCTGATGCTCTAACCGCTGAGCCAAACCGGCCAGGACTCGAGTAATTTTTTATTTATTTATTTATTTTTTATCCTCACCCGAGGACATTTTTCCATTTTTTGTTCTGATAGAGTGGGAGGGAGCGAGAGGAAGAGAGAGAGAGAGAAACATCGATGTGAAAGGGACACATCGAGTGGCTGCCACCCGCACGACCTAACCAGGACCAGGGACAAACTGCAACCGAGGTACGTGCCCTTAGCGGGAACCGAACCCGGGTCTCTCTGGACTGCAGGCCGACGCTCTAACCGCTGAGCCAAACCGGCCAGGGCGCGAGTAATTATTTTCAAGGCACTTGCTTTGTTTTCTTTCTGTTACTTGTGACCCTTTGGTTGGGTCCCATCTTTCACAGCCCCTGTCTCCAACTGAGCCTCAAAGACCAGAAGCCAAGCCCATCCTGCTCAGCCACTTCTAACCAAGTGTACACTAGACGGCCAGTAGGTGTGAAATAAATAAATCCTTGCGCTGCCTAGCCAGTGGCTAAGCATGTTAGGCTGTGACAAGGACCGGTGAAGGGAAGGGGAAATACTGGTTGCTCCCATTTCCTAGGCCCAACCTCCCTAAAAGAAAAGAAGTATTCTATCTCAGCCAAAAAGAACCTAACACCTATAATAAAAGATACAGATCAATGTGTGTCGAATTTGGGGTAGAAAACCCACAGTGACACAAGAAGGTGGGCTATAGACAGCCATTCTGGCAGTGAGCCCGTCCCTGCGCAGCCCCTGCCCGTTGGCAGGCCTCTAAAAAGGGCTTGTACAGCAAATGGTACAGTTAAGCATGAGGAACACTTGGAGGATCTGGGCACAGCGTGGATCAGCTGTCGCTGAGCACATGATTCCCCAGCTGTTGCCTTTCTTTCTCCTTAGAAGTCACTCTTGTCACGCAGTCCTTTGAAAAGGAGGGGTCAAGAGAGAAATTTCACTTTGATTGTGATCGTCACATAAAATGACTGGAGATCATAGTTTTAGAAAGCCACTAAATTCTTCTTCCTGCACGCATGATTTCTATAATGCCTGCGTGACACTATAATGCCTGGTTTGCCAATAGGACAAACCAGTTTTAAAAGGCCACGGGCCTCAATGCTCTCCATTGTGAACATTTCGAGAGGTTCCTTCTATATTATACCTGATCAAAACACACACACAAATGGACTAAGTAGGAATGAGATCGTATACCTCATTTATTTGAAGTGGCAGGGTGAATCATTTTACTTACTGATTTTAGAAAGTTTTAGATTGGCAGAAACATTTGAAAGAGAGTTTCCATGTATTCTATATCCATTCTCCTCTACTGTTCGCATCTTACTTTAGTAAGGGACGTTTGTCATAGCTAATTTCTTGGTTTTTACCTAACATCCCTTTTGAATTCCAGGATTCACCTAGGACAGCACATCACATTTACTCATTGTGTGTCCTCAGGCTCCTTGAGGCTGTGACAGTTTCTCAGACTGCCCTTGTTTTCGATTACCATGACAATTTAAAATTTTTTTTTAATTTTAGAGAGAGGAAAGGGGAGAGAGAGAGAGAGAAACTTAGATTGGTTGCCTCCCACACATACCCCGATTGGGACCAAACTTGAAACCTGGGTATGTGCCCTGACCAGAAATGGAACTCATGGCCTTTCTGTGAACAGGAGGACACTCCAACCAACTGAGCCACACCAGCAAGGGCACTGTGACAATTTCTAAGTGTTTGTCAGGAATTTTGTGGAATGTCCTCGATTTGGGTTCGATTGGTGTTTTTCTCATGACTGGACTAGGTTATGGGTCTGGGGGAGGAGTCTGTCAAGCGCGGCCTCAGCCACGTGGTCAAGGTTAATATCAACAGTGGTGTCGCACTGAAGACATGTATGTTACGAATGGCCCTCTACCTTTCCGACTTCTCCTTTTCAAGTAGAAAATTCTACACCAATATATTTTCTTCTGTGAAGTCATAAATCTGTGATATATATTTGGTGACAAAAGGGGTTTAGAAATATAATAAGACCAAGCCTTTTCCCCATAAATATATATTTTAAAAAAGTATTCTTATTTCAAAGTTTTATCTCTTAACACATAAAACTCATTTATCTTTAAACCTGCTATGGATTTTAAGGGGTTTCTGCACATGGAACAAAGTATTAATCCAAGCTGTGAGCTCAAGTAAGAGCATACGCACCATTCAGTAATTGAGGAAAAACCCCATCTACCCTTCGATAAGCCAAGAGAAGACAAACTGGTGGACACATTTCTACTATTTACAAAAATATCATATCTATTATAAACATTGCATTATTTTTTTAATTCTACCTTAATTATTTAAATTGGAAACAAAGAGTATACTTAGATAAAATATGTTTAAATTCTTTCTTTTTTCTTTCTCTCTTTCTTTCTCTCTTTCTTTCTTTCTTTCTTTCTTTCTTTCTTTCTTTCTTTCTTTCTTTCTTTCTTCCTTATATGTAAGAAATGAGTATCAGCAGCTAATTTAGGTCAGAACTAATTTAGGTCCTTGGTATGGGGCTGCATGGGGGAGGGAGCTCATAAAAAAAGCTTCTCCTGCCCATATACAGAAAAAATAATACAGCGTATTAGGCCACCATGTGAGATAAGGAGACTGTGGGTCAGTTGTGACCTAAGTGAATTATTGCCATTATGACAGTATTAACCTCTCACTGTAACATTGAGACGAATAATGACCTTCTCCACGTTGGAGAATACTTTTATATCAGACCAAAAGAAAATGATTAATGCATCTATATCTTTAAACACAACTATATTCAACAATTAGAACATATATGTGTACGTTAATGTATGTAGGCATATGTGTATATGTTCTTATATATGTAATGTATAAATATGGTTCTTTTAAAATCCCAAATTAGCCACTGTTTTATTTTCTATTTTTAAATCCTCACCAGAAGATGTGTTGTTATTGACTTTAGAGAGAGAGGGAGGAAGCGAGAGAGAAAAATCATGTGAGAGAGAAACGTCTACTGGTTGTCTCCTGTACACACCCCGGACAGAACCCACAACCTAAGTATTTGCCCTGACCAGGAATCAAACCCACACCTTTCTGTGTATGGGACCATGCTCCAACCAAATGAGCCATCTGGCCAGGGCTAGATACTGTTTTTTTATTTTTTTTACTAATTAAAAACTACTCATTAATTAACCTGAAAGAACAGAAGTGAGAATGGTACGTTGGTTATTCTTATGCTTATGCTTTTTTTTTTTTTTAATCCTCACCCGAGGACATGCTTAGAGAGAGGAAGGGAGGAAGGGAGGGGGAGGGAGAGAGGGAGAGAGGGATCAGTGTTAGAGAGAAACATCCATGGTTGGCTTCCCTGTGTGCCCCAACTGGAATCTAACCCCAAATCCAGATGTGTGCCCTGACCAGGAATTGAACTAGCAACCTTTTGGTGCACAGCATGACACTCAGCCAACTGAGCCACTCCTGCCTGGCGTTCTTATGCTTCTTTTTTTATTATTAATTAATTTTTGTTACAGATGTTTCTCCTTTTCCCCCCACTGCTTCCCCCTCTTATGATTCTTAATATGAGAGTCTAGCTTTGCGAACTGAGGACACCAAGGTCACAAAAGAAACTAGTGACTCACCAAAACTTATACCGTATTGATAATGAAAGTCCTTTTCTCTCTTCAACTCACTGGCCACTTACATTAATTTAAGAATTTATCTCATTTCCTTAATATGAATAAAAAATTTAGGTGATAAGTAATCAGACTTTATTTAACTTAAGACATAAAATGGGTGTCTACTTTGAAAGTTACTGTTAAAAAATGTTTGGCAAGAAGGTAAATCTTGCTGTCATTTCCATTCCATTTGATATTTTTCATTAAATTTTAGAAAGAAAACTAAGTTTTAAGAAGTAGTTTTAAATTATTGTTTTTTTGGCATACAATGTAAAACAGAGAGAGCAAGGCAGAGGCTGTACCCCTAGAAGCCTTCAAGTGTGCTCATTTCAAGACTTGTTGGACTTTCCTTACACGTCTGCTTTTTATTTTTAAACATCACAACCTCATTGCTGACCAACATTTTCTTGCAAGTGATGGCAAGAGGGGAGGAGCGCGAGCAAAGGAGCCGCGTGAAAACTGGGGACACTCGCTGCCAAAATTCCAAGTTGAAATCAAATCCTTCAGTCAAGTTTCTTCGGCATGGAGTGGGGAAAAAAAAAAGATTTACAACTTTAGCAGAATTGTAATTTCACCAATCAAAAGTATCAGTCGATCTGCTTTACTGTCACCAAAGGCTCTGAAACTGGCTTTGGCATACTTCTTTCTCTTTTATATATGCAACTGGAAAAAAAAAAAAGGCAAGAGGAGTTTAAAAAAATTGATGAAGCCCTGACCCTTTAGACTCCATTTATAGACTGAGCAGGAATGCCATCCCCCTTGACTAGCGAGCTGGCCAATCCAGCCTCATGTGTCAAGATTCTATCAGGCACTAAGTGAAATATATATGCAGGTCCTTATACCATTTAATACTCTGGGGCCACCTTCAAGACACTGGGCTGTGGATCAACCGAACCACCGCTCCTCTTCCAAGAATCATTTTGACAGTTTCTTTTGGAGGTGCTTCTTCTCTCTCTGTCTCTTTTTTTAACCCATCCTTTTAAACAAAATGGCACCAAAGAAGGATGTGAAGAAACCAGCGGCTGCTGCTCCTGCCCCAGCCCCTGCCCCAGCTCCTCCACCTGCCCCACCCAAAGAAGAAAAAATTGACCTCTCTGCCATTAAGGTAACTAAATGGATGAATTGTTTGGTCACTGAAACATCTTTCAACAGCAGGGAACTCTAGAAACTTGCCAAAAATGGTATCTTTTTCATTGAGACAAATGCCATTACTAAGTGAACTGGTAGATTTGGGGAGAAGAGAATGCCAACTAACAAATAAATAAACTCTGACCTGTAATTTCAGTAAAGTTCCCATAAGTGTGGTACTGCATGTGGAACCTGTATTTCCTCTACTTATTGTTTTCTAGTTTCCTTGTTTCCCCTAAGTTGTCAAAGTGCAATTTACGGGTAACATATAAAGATGTAAAGGTCGTTTACAAATATTTAAAGAAAGATTTGTTTTTATTCATTTGTATAATCTCTGTAGAAACTGGATCCCTTATTTTAAAGCTCTATCAAAGGGAAAGTTTTAGTCCATCCACCGATTTCTGAAAGTTTAAAAACAGCTGATGACCCAGTTGTCCTGGTTGTCCTTATTTGACAGCTGCTTTATTTCATCTGAAAAAGAGAAGATTTTTGCAGTTCAAGTTAATTTCCCCTTCAGCTTGGCTTAATAAAACTTGATACAACACTAAATGAGATCTCAGTTCAGACAATTATGCACTCAAATGTTTCAGTGACTACAACTGTCATTTTGTTTATTTATACACAGTATTTAATTCAGAATGTGTGAGCTGTTTCTAAATGAAACTAACCCCCCCCCAAAAAAAAAATACTATAAAACTTGTTGGTTATATAGCTCTTAGCTTATGTCTTTGAGCTCTTGCATACTGATCTTGAACTAAGGAGAATATGATTGATTTTTGTGTCTACACTTTGCTGTGATCAAAGGTCTCAAATACCAAAAGATTATCCGCTTTTAGAAAAATGATGTAATGCATGAGCCTGTTCCTTCTCAGTGATGTGACTCATCAAATGTGCACCTTGTCATTCATGGGGCTTAGATTGGTCCAAAGGACAGTTGGAAAATCTTCATCTAAGGAGCCCTGCCTTATATGGGAAACTAGTGGGCAAAAGTGCCTATGCATGCTATTTTCACTTAAATCACAAGTTCTGTATGCAATAAATCTAAATTTTGCTAACTTAACTCTTTACTTGCAATGGTGATGCTGACCTATAGATAAACACTTTATTGACTATTTTACTAAAGTTGTATGTTTTATAAATATTTAATTAAATCATCCATAGGTATATACAATGGAGTTGAATAAACACATTCATAATACCTATAGATATTCCAGTTAAACATGAAATTCTACATTTCAAAGTAGGAGTAGATTATAACAGATTTCAAAAAAATTTTTTTTCTTTATTGATTTTAGAGAGAGAGGAAGGGAGAGGGAGAAAGAGATAGAAACATCAATGAGAGAGCACATCGATTGGCCGCTTCCTGCATGCTCCCCACTGGGAATTGGGCCCACATCCTGGGCATGGGTCCTGACCAGGAATCGAACCTGCGACCTCTGGGTGCATGGGTCGATGCTCAACCACTGAGCCACACTGGCCGGACTATCACAAATATTTTACCTTGAGTTTATAGATAACTGAAGTAAAATTTTAATAGACTTTAATATTAGTTAGAAACTCTTTTTTTTTTTTTTTTGGATAGGAACTATTATTTTTAATGAATATCTACTTAGGAGAAGACACGCATATCAGATCTTCTAATAAATATATTTCCACCCTGAGGACTGCGTGCATACAGTTCATTAAGAGGAAACCAAATTTTTCATCTCCAGAAACCCTAGTTGATATATCTTTGTACACTGATTATACTGTATAATAAACATGATTACAAGCACTCCAATAATTCGGGCTATCTCTGTTCTTTCATCCTTCACTCTATACTAACATTAAAGATAAAAATTAATATCAAAGCTATTCCTCTTTATATTTATTTGATTTATAAGACAACATCATCTCTTTGTATCTGGGACTACAAGTATGTGGAAAGGGGAAAAAGTACCTTTATCTTAAGAAGAAAAAAAGTATCTCACTAATGAAAATAGACATTAATATTCTTTTCTGAGAAACTGTATAAGAATACATAAATAAATAAAAGTTGAGTTTGATAGATAAGAAGACTCTAAGAAAAGACAAAACATCACTTGTTTAATCCAGAGATTAAACTGAGTATGTGTTCATAGTTGGTAGAAAAAAGAGATGCTTTTCTGAATCTTGAAAATTGGTTTACCTGTCCCTCCATAGGTTGAATTAAAGCTGGTGTCAGCTAGTACAAGCAAAAGAAGGAAATACCACTCAGAGTCCCTGTAAAGATGGGGTCTTTCTATCTTCACTATTTCACTGCAAAAAAAAAAAAAAAAGAGAGAGAGAGATCTAATAGATCCCAACAAGGGACACAAACCAAAAATAAGTTAAGTGAATCTAGAAGAAATTAACCTTTATCTTTCACTCAGAGAGCCCATTCTTAATAGAAGGGGGATGGGGGTGGGGACAGAGTTAAAACTACTATATTTTTGTAAAGCAATTTCAATGCCTTCAATGATTTTCATTCATCAATATGAAATCAGTGCATATTTATAGGTATTATAACAAAGGCAAAGAATGTGATACAATTTGGGGACTTTAGAAAATTTCATTTCATTCCAATAGGTAACAAGGCTAATTAAAAGGTACATCAAAACATTTCATATTATTATGCTTTAACCACTTAATGATGTCCCCAGGTATATTACCTCATTTAAGTTATAAACTTTCTTCAAGCAGAGAAAATGAACTTTAAAGAAATTAATAGAGCTGTTATATGTGTTCATCAACTTTCTGAAAACTCAATAACAAACAAAACTTAATTAGATGTTAAACTTTCTTTCATAAATCATATGATTTAGAAATCTATCTGTCCTTTAGACTTTGCGTAATGCTGAAGTTTAAGTGTACCTTTGTGTAATATTATAACCATGATCATATTTAACTCCTCAATATGATTCCCAGCTAATATCTTTGTTTCACCTTATAATATAGCATATTTAATAGCCATATATTTGACTCACCAGAAACTCTGAGCAATCTTGTATATTATTAATTAGCTTTATCACTTTCTTAAATGTGCTTTTAAATTTTATTTCCTCCTGATTTGTCAGTTATTTGTTTAGAACAGTTCTTCAATTGTTCTGACATTAAACCTTTGATATTTGCGGGAATGCTTACCTGATGTCTTATCCTCATGGATTTTCTATGAGTATCCTTCTCCAAAAACACATTTCCTGCTGATATTCGAAATTCGAGTTACTGTCCTGGGAGGTCCTGCGAGCTCTTTGCTTTCACAGAGCTGACGGCTTCCAGCAACAATGCCCAGACCAAGGTGCTGCCCGACAGAATCTCGATGTGGAAAGTAAAACCTACCATGAGCATATAGTTGTAGGTGCAAACACAAGAACCAACACCGGCTCCCCCAAACTACCACCAATGAAATAACAAAAGTAAAAATGCAATGAGGTCACCATGTGCCTGAAGCTCTTTGATGTGCAAGTGAATTTGTTGCATGATGCATGTCATAGCTTATATGTCAGGATTGCTGTGAATCATATCTCACTGTGTTGCTTACATTTTAATTTTCAGTGTATTCACCACTCAATCAGGTCATCCCTGACTAGACTGCAGGCGATATTACAAAAAACGTGGTAAAGGTACAGAATGCATTGACAGAAACTCATCAAATAATAAATCTTAAAGCAACAGTTGACCACATGTTTGGGAAGATTCAAACTTTCAGTTTAACGGGTAAGGTGGAAATATGGCATTCCTAGTAAATACATCTATTTACTGATGGATGTTCAGTGGAGGAAAATCTATGTATACATTGTGACACCTGACTTGTTCTGGTCAGGGTATAAGACGGTTTGTGTTCATCTATAAATTTTTTTTCTCATATCTAACAAGTCTAATACAAACCCAGTCCCACTTAGAAGAGTTGTTGGAAAAATCAAAAAAGGTCAAGGCCATGAAAGGTTTTGAAAATTATAAAGTCCTTTATAATAAAACAACCATGTTCATTGTGAATTTACTGTTCCCTATATCTTATTTAATCCTCAAAACACTGCACTGAGGTTGTTTTAGCTTCATTTTGCAAGGAAAGAAACTAAAGAGTCTAAAGAGGTTCGATGTGATGCCCATGATCAAATAACTAGTAATGATGAAGCTAGGACTAATCTAGCAGGCCGAATCCAGAGTTAGCTGCGTTAACCATCTGATAACCTACCTCCTGTTTAGAAAGAGTACATTGCTGTTTGTAAGAATGTGTACAGGAAACTGTTTTGTTCTGAATCATGTGAGGTGGAGGGGTTCTTATATTACCCTGCACAGCTCTGTGTAACCACAAGAGGGAGTGACAAGCACACACAGAGCAAGTTCATCAAGACAACCTTGGCAGTCCACCAATGTTCCGTTCTCCAGAGCTTCCCCTACCTTAGCACCTGCTGACTGGTTGAGTGTTCTCTCTCTCTCTCTCTCTCTCTCTCTCTCTCTCTCTCAATATTTTTGTATTGATTTTTTGGAGAGAGAGAAACAAGATGTGAGAGATACATTGACCAGCTGCCTCCTGCACGCCCCCTACTGGGAATCAAGCCCACAACCCAGGCGTGTGCCCCGACCAGGAGTCCAACGGGGACCTCTCAGTCCATGGGACACTACTCAATCCACTGAGCCACATTAGCGGGGTGGTCGAGTGTTCTCTTTTACAAATGGAAGGTGTATTAGGAACTAAGAAAGACTCCTAGCCAGGTTGCTCCAGCCTCCTATCCAAGGCTGTAAACAGAACATGTATCTATATTTGTAAATGCTGTTAGGAGAGCAGATCGGAAGTCACCAGCATGAGGGTGGAAGAGGAAGGAAAGGGCGAAGGTGGTCAGAGGATATCAGCTTCTGGTTGTAAGAGAATAATTTCTGGGGATCCAATACAGCGTGGTGACTATGGTTAACAATACTGGATTGTACACTTCAAAGCTGCTAAGAGAGCAAACCTTAAAGGTTCTCACTAAAAGAAAAAATACCTATGTGAGGTGATGGATGTGTTAATAAACCTTATTATGGTAATTATTTCACAATATCAAAATCATCACATGTACACCTTAAACTGACACAATGTTATATGTCAGTGATTTTTAACCTTTTTCATCTCATGGCACACATAAACTAATTACTAAAATTCTGCAGCCCCCCCCCAAAAAAATACATTTTTTGACGATCTGACAAAAAAAATAGGTATAATTTTGATTCATTCACACCAGATGGTTATCGTTGTGTTGGCTCTTATCATTTTTTTATTTGACTGTCTAAGGAACAGAGGTCAGTGATCCTGACTAGTCAGGTATTGCATGTTTTAGAAAGTTATTGCAGCACACAGGTTGAAAATTGCTGTCAATTGTATCCCAATAAAGTTGAAAAAAAATTAAACTATGCTGAATTATTGAAAAGAATTTTTTTGTTGTTAATTTTAGATAGAGAGGAAGGGAGGGGGAGAGAGAGAAAGAAACATTGATGAGAGTGAACATCAATTGACCGCCTCCTGCATGCCCCCCACTAAGGATCAGGCCCACAACCTGGGCATGTGCCCTGACTGGGAATCGAACTGGCGACCTCTTGGTGCATGGTTCGACGCTCAACCACTGAGCCACACTGGCTGGGCCCAAATTATTTTTTAAATGTTGTTAAATGTTTTTAAACTGGTTGAATTCTAAAATAATTATGTTTTGAATTAAACATACACATATATATACCTGACCTCCAAATTTTGCCATCGGGTCAATGGTACGGGAGAATGGTATGGGATTTCTGTTTACAAATAAACAACATGATTTAAACTGGAAATCCCAATCACATATTCACTGGGGTGGTTTGTAGAAATATAATATCACATGTATAATGATAAAATCTTAACCAGTTTGAGGAAAAGAACACATATGGTCAATTTCTAATTAGGAGGAATATGTGAAAACATTCATAAGTTGTTTTGACGTTTTCATCATATATTGTAAAAGCTTGTCTTCTTTAACTCTGGCCTTTCCATAATACAAAAAAATTTTTAATGCAGCTACAAAGTCCATCAATTGCAATATTAGTCCACTTGTAGTGTGAATATAACCTTACGAGTGAATCAAAAACTATTTGAGACTCTCTCTGGGTATCAGCATCAAGTTTCCACTTTCAAACACTAAGGTTATAAAAGAAGAGAACAGATGGAATGGAGTGGGGGAATATTAAAATGCATCGGCTACTCTCTCTGACATTGTATTTTGAATGATATGTAACTGGATAACGTCTTGGTGAAGTAAAATGCAGTTTGGAAAGGAATAGATGTGTTCACCAATTAACAGCGAGTAGCACTTTTAATTTTAAAGACAATGAAATCTTTGCAAGACAAGAAGATCATAAAGTGGCAGTACCAAATTTAGCTTGTCGACATTTTAGTGCTGCAAATAAACCAGCCCTGGCACATCATCTTTAGAAACCGGTCCATAATCACCCAGCATTCAGCACCATCTGACTCATGGAAATTGTGCAAAGGATTATATTTAGTCTGCTGATACTACACTTTCTTCTGCTTCTTTTCATACTGAAATACTTCTTGTATGAAAATAGGATCTTTTATCGCTTGTTTCTACATGAAGTTTCTACAGTCGGCTTCTTACCCAAAACAGAATTTGGAGGGAAAAATGATAATATACAAATTGTGATGGCTTCAATGATACTAGTTAAAACTTAAATTATATGGATGATAAATCCTTGTTATTCTAGCCATAAATTAATAATAGTGAGTTGAAGCCAGAGAAGGAATCTCTCCCTAAAGATAAAATCACATCATAAAATCACTTCTTTCCACTGTGAAGGAGGTTCTTTGAGCTCGTGAGTGCCCAGTGGTACATACTGTCTCCTGTTTATAAAACATTTGACTCAATTGAACATGGTGTTATGAAATCATATTTGGATTAACGCCTCTTTATCTAAACTACTTCAAAATAATATTATTAATTAATTTTTTAGGCACTTGCCCTTTTTCATTAGAAAACGTGAGTTGAGGTAGATTCTACTGACAAAAAATGGAAAACTCACAATATTTTAAGACCATAAGCAAGCGTAGAAATCATTAAATATACTAGTTTGTATCTGAGAGGAAGCTTTGATGCAGACAAGAGAAGTTATTTAATCTAAAGACACTTGTTTTGTTATAAGAGTCAGGACAAAAATTCTGAATGGCTTAATCCCTGTCTAGATTTCTTTCCACTATATCAAAAGACCTGAAATCTCTAAAATGGTAATGCTAATATTCATATATCCCTGTTGTCACAAAAGAACTTTTTCTCCAGATAAGTAGGAAAAAGCAGGTACTTATCATTTTGTACAGCACACACAACACATTTTTCTAATGCTCATATTTTAAAGATAAAAGGAAGAAGGAAGAAACAAACACAACTTGAATTTTTAATAAGTCACATGCAAACAAAGACCCAAAGTAGAAAAAGTATGAGTCAAAAGAAATTTTAGATTTATTTATCAACTGTGAACCATGGGAAAGCTGATGAGAAATTTGAAGTGTAGACTTAGGTCACATTTAAAATGTTTTTGTTAAACTTTACTTAGGTCTCTCTGTTAATTCTTGCAGGTCTGAATTGTGTTACTTTAATAACTTAGCCTTTGCTCTAATGTGCCTGAATTTAGTTGACTAGTCTAAGCATCTTCACAGAGAATTACTCATTTCTTCTTCTGTTCAGATTGATTATTCAATATAGCCATCTATCCTCTTATCTTAGACAACCTGGGCCAGTACTGTATTCTCATTGTTCTTAATTTCTCCTTTTTATACCATTATTTTAGTCCCAGCCTAGGTATATCCTTTGTTGAGGTCAAAGCAATGCAACAAAAAATATTCATTTCCCGAGTTATTCTGAAGTATAAAACTCAGTTTCAAAATAATGCTTCTGCTTCTGCTGGTCTTTTACAGTGATTCCCAGCAACTCTGTGAGTTTGGACTGAGAAGTAATAAATTAAGTTTTGGGGGGAGGTTTGCCTACATCAGGTCTTTTTCTCTCTGCCAGGCAGTAAGTCAGAGAACCTGCAGCAATGTCTTCTTCATTGAAAACTGGCCCTGCTTGGACTGACTGCCTTCCTCAGCCTCGCCAGTCGTTAGCCCCATGTGTCTGACAGTGATGATGAACTTGTTTAAAGACTCTAGTCTGTGTTCCTTCCCAGGGCCTTTTCCCTCAGTATTCAACCACACATAGCTCCCAAGCCGCCTTTAATTGTAGCTCTTCTTGTTTTACTAAATCTTTTTTAGCAGTTTTCTTAATATTTCTTTGTAATTAAATTTATTGGGATGGCATGGGTTTATACTACCA